GCTTCTATGAGAACATTTGTCCAGTGAGGTAACTTCGTTCTTTTTGGACTTCTATGAGCACATTTGTCCAGCGAGGTAACTTCTTTCTTTCCTTGGGCTTCTATGAGCACATTTGTCCAGCGAGGTAACTTCTTTCTTTCCTGGGCTTCTATGAGCACATTTGTCCAGCGAGGTAACTTCTTCTTTCTTTCCATGGGCTTCTATGAGCACATTTGTTGTCCAGAGAGGTAACTTCTTTCTTTCCTTTTCCTTGGGCTTCTATGAGCACATTTGTCCAGCGAGGTAACTTCTTCTTTCTTTCCTTGGGCTTCTATGAGCACATTTCGCTTGGGCCAGCATTTGTCCGGTAACTTAACTTCTTTCTTTCCTTGGGCTTCTATGAGCACATTTGTCCAGCGAGGTAACTTCTTCTTTCTTTCTTTTTGGGCTTCTATGAGCACATTTGTCCAGAGAGGTAACTTCTATCTTTCCTTGGGCTTCTATAAGCACATTTGCCCAGCGAGGTAACTTTCTTTCCTTGGGCTTCTATGAGCACATTTGTCCAGCGAGGTAACTTCTTCTTTCTTTCCTTGGGCTTCTATGAGCATCATTTCCAGCGAGGTAACTTCTTCTTTCTTTCCTTGGGCTTTCATGAGCACACATTTGTCCAGCGAGGTAATGTCTCTATCTTTCCTTGGGCTTCTATATGCACACATTTGTCCAGCGAGGTAACTTCGTTCTTTCCTTGAGCTTCTATGAGCACATTTGTCCAGCGAGGTAACTTCTTTCTTTCCTTGGGCTTCTATGAGCACATTTGTCCTTGAGGTAACTTCTTTCTTTCTTGGGCTTCTATAAGCACATTTGTCCAGCGAGGTAACTTCTTCTCTCTTTCCTTGGGCTTCTATGAGCACATTTGTCCAGCGAGGTAACTTCTTCTTTCTTTCCTTGGGCTTCTAAGAGCACATTTGTCCAGCGAGGATAACTTCTTCTTCTTTCCTTGGGCTTCTATGAGCACATTTGTCCAGCGAAGTAACTTCTTCTTTCTTTCCTTGGGCTTCTATGAGAACATTTGTCCAGCGAGGTAACTTCTTCATTCTTTCCTTGGGCTTCTATGAGCACATTTGTCCAGCGAGGTAACTTCTTTCCTTGGGCTTCTATGAGCACATTTGCCCAGCGAGCTAATGTCTCCTAACTTTCCTTGGGCTTCTATATGCACATTTGTCCAGCGAGGTAACTTCCTTCTTTCCTTGGGCTTCTATGAGCACATTTGTCCAGCGAGGTAACTTCTTCTTTCTTTCCTTGGGCTTCTATGAGCACATTTGTCCAGCGAGGTAACTTCTTCTCTCTTTCCTTGGGCTTCTATGAGCACATTTGTCCAGCGAGGTAACTTCTTCTATCTTTCCTTGGGCTTCTATGAGCACATTTGTCCAGCGAGGTAACTTCGTTCTTTCCTTGGCTTCTATGAGCACATTTGTCCAGCGAGGTAACTTCTTTCTTTCCTTGGGCTTCTATGAGCACATTTGTCCAGCGAGGTAACTTCTTTCTTTCCTTGGGCTTCTATGAGCACATTTGTCCAGCGAGGTAACTTCTTCTTTCTTTCCTTGGGCTTTCTATGAGCACATTTGTCCAGCGAGGTAACTTCTATCTTTCCTTGGGCTTCTATAAGCACATTTGTCCAGCGAGGTAACTTCTTCTTTCTTTCCTTGGGCTTCTATGAGCACATTTTTCCAGCGAGGTAACTTCTTCTTTCTTTCCTTGGGCTTTTCATGAGCACATTTGTCCAGCGAGGTAATGTCTCCTCTTCTTTCCTTGGGCTTCTATATGCACATTTGTCCAGCGAGGTAACTTCGTTCTTTCCTTGAGCTTCTATGAGCACATTTGTCCAGCGAGAGGTAACTTCTTCTTTCTTTCCTTGGGCTTCTATAAGCACATTTGTGCGAGGTAACTTCTTCTCTCTTTCCTTGGGCTTCTATGAGCACATTTGTCCAGCGAGGTAACTTCTTCTATCTTTCTTGGGCTTTCTATGAGCACATTTGTTCAGTGAGGTAACTTCGTTCTTCTTTCCTTGGGCTTCTATGAGCACATTTGTCCAGCAAGGTAACTTCTTTCTTTCCTTGGGCTTCTATGAGCACATTTGTCCAGCGAGGTAACTTCTTTCTTTCCTTGAGCTTCTATGAGCACATTTGTCCAGCGAGGTAACTTCTTTTTCTTTCCTTGGGCTTTCATGAGCACATTTGTCCAGCGAGGTAATGTCTCCTATCTTTCCTGGGCTTCTATGAGCACATTTGTCCAGCGAGGTAACTTCGTTCTTTCCTTGAGCTTCTATGAGCACATTTGTCCAGCGAGGTAACTTCTTCTTTCTTTCCTTGGGCTTCTAAGAGCACATTTGTCCAGCGAGGTAACTTCTTTCTTTCCTTGGGCTTCTATGAGCACATTTGTCTAGCGAGGTGACTTCTTCTTTCTTTCCATGGGCTTCTATGAGCACATTTGTCCAGCGAGGTAACTTCTTCTATCTTTCCTTGGGCTTCTATAAGCACATTTTGTCCAGCGAGGTAACTTCTTCTTTCTTTCCTTGGGCTTTCATGAGCACATTTGTCCAGCGAGGTAATGTCTCCTATCTTTCCTTGGGCTTCTATATGCACATTTGTCCAGCGAGGTAACTTCTTCTTTCTTTCCTTGGGCTTCTATGAGCACATTTGTCCAGCGAGGTAACTTCTTTCTTTCCTTGGGCTTCTATGAGCACATTTGTCCAGCGAGGTAACTTCTTCTTTCTTTCCTTGGACTTCTATGAGCACATTTTGTCCAGCGAGGTAACTTCTTTCTTTCCTTGGGCTTCTATGAGCACATTTGTCCAGCGAGGTAACTTCTTCTTTCTTTCCATGGGCTTCTATGAGCACATTTGTCCAGCGAGGTAACTTCTATATTTCCTTGGGCTTCTATAAGCACATTTGTCCAGCGAGGTAACTTCTTCTTTCTTTCCTTGGGCTTTCATGAGCACATTTGTCCAGCGAGGTAATGTCTCCTATCTTTCCTTGGGCTTCTATATGCACATTTGTCCAGCGAGGTAACTTCTTCTTTCTTTCCTTGGGCTTCTAAGAGCACATTTGTCCAGCGAGGTAACTTCTTTCTTTCCTTGGGCTTCTATGAGCACATTTGTCCAGCGAGGTAACTTCTATCTTTCCTTGGGCTTCTATAAGCACATTTGTCCAGCGAGGTAACTTCTATCTTTCCTTGGGCTTCTATAAGCACATTTGTCCAGCGAGGTAACTTCTTCTTTCTTTCCTTGGGCTTTCATGAGCACATTTGTCCAGCGAGGGTAATGTCTCCTATCTTTCCTTGGGCTTCTATATGCACATTTGTCCAGCGAGGTAACTTCTTCTTTCTTTCCTTGGGCTTCTAAGAGCACATTTGTCCAGCGAGGTAACTTCTTTCTTTCCTTGGGCTTCTATGAGCACATTTGTCCAGCAAGGTAACTTCTTCTTTCTTTCCTTGGACTTCTATGAGCCATTTGTCCAGCGAGGTAACTTCTTTCTTTCCTTGGGCTTCTATGAGCACATTTGTCCAGCGAGGTAACTTCTTCTTTCTTTCCATGGGCTTCTATGAGCACATTTGTCCAGCGAGGTAACTTCTTCTATCTTTCCTTGGGCTTCTATAAGCACATTTGTCCAGCGAGGTAACTTCTTCTTTCTTTCCTTGGGCTTTCATGAGCACATTTGTCCAGCGAGGTAACTTCCTTCTTTCCTTGGGCTTCTATGAGCACATTTGTCCAGCGAGGTAACTTCGTTCTTTCCTTGGGCTTCTATGAGCACATTTGTCCAGCGAGGTAACTTCTTCTTTCTTTACTTGGGCTTTTATGAGCACATTTGTCCAGCGAGGTAACTTCTTCTTTCTTTCCTTGGGCTTCTATGAGCACATTTGTCCAGTGAGGTAACTTCTTCTTTCTTTCCTTGGGCTTCTATGAGCACTGTGATGCATTGCAGAGCATTTGCATGCGTTTGTGGTGTGGAAAAGTGCAGCATGCTTTACTTTTCTGCACTGCACTGCAATGGTGTGAACTATGCCCATAGGATAGCCTGGATTTTGGACTGTCTATGCAGCTGGAGTGCAGTACAAAATGCAGCCAGCTGTGGCAAACTGCATTCCACTGCACTCGGTGCGAATGAGCCCTTATATCCATTTTCATATTTCTCCCGTTAGATTTTTTTCGGTACATTGACACATCTGGCAAAAATAGATTTGTAAAAATTAGATTTATCTGTTAGCCTCAGATGCAACAATCCAGAAAGGTATGCGACCTCCACAAGAGAAAGAGAAGCGGGGAATTTGTTTTGTGCTCTTGTAGAGATCTGCTCTGCTCCTGGGCTCTTTTTCTAGTTATAAATCTTTTCTCTTGGCAGTCTATGGTACGTTTCCTTGAATGGTCTACAGCTGGCCTGAGTCAGTCTTATCAGTAAGTACATATTTCAATCTATTATAGAGACATTAACTTGAACTTGACTTTCACATTTCTACTTGTTTGCTGCTATTAACTATTGTATTCTATATATTCCTCGTAGTGGTCATTGGGATATTAGGAATGTGATTTAGGGCATAATTGAGTATTAGACCCAGATGCAGCTTACCAATTCTTAAATGTGGTGGTTGCATTAGTTTTCTTTTTTAGGCTTTTTTTTTTTCCCCTTTATTTTAACCTGGGGATCCAGCCAGTAACAAACTTCATGTCTTAGGATGTCTCCGCCCGGGAGGAAGGAGCAACAGAGACACCCTTGAACAACAACATCCCATTGTCAGGGCTACAAATGCTTAGTCTGCTGGCACGCACTCCATTGTGGTGGACTTGGCAAAGTGTTCACAACACTTTATTATTCTTATACAGGATTTATAGGGCGCCAATAGTTTGCACAGCGCTTTACAATACACTTTATGGTAGACTTTTATTGTATAGACTTTACTATGGGAACAAATGTTTTAGATGAATTAGTATACAGTAAAGTCCCGGACAGTTTAAGTGTTACTAAACCCCGGACCCTGCATTCACTATATCTGGTCTCCCAGAACTCTGCATTCACCATATCTGGTCTCCCCGGACCCTGCATTCACCACATCTGGTCTCCCCGGACTCTGCATTCACTAAATCTGGTCTCCCAGGACCCTGCATTCACTATATCTGGTCTCCCAGGACCCTGCATTCACCATATCTGGCCCCCCCCCGGACTCTGCATTCACTATATCTGGTCTTCCCGGACCCTGCATTCACTATATCTGGTCTCCCAGGACCCTGCATTCACTATATCTGGTCTCCCCGGACCCTGCATTCACTATATCCGGTCTCCCAGGACCCTGCATTCACCATATCTGGTCTCCCAGGACCTTGCATTCACTATATCCGGTCTCCCAGGACCCTGCATTCACCATATCTGGTCTCCCAGGACCCTGCATTCACTTTATCCAGTCTCCCAGGACCCTGCATTCACTATATCTGGTCTCCCTGGACCCTGCATTCACTATATCTGGTCTCCCCAGACCCTGAATTCACTATACCCGGTCTCCCTGGACCCTGCATTAACTATATCTTGTCTCCCCAGACCCTGCATTCACTATATCTGGTTTCTCCGGACCCTGCATTCACTATATCTGGTCTCCCAGGACCCTGCATTCACTATATCTGGTCTCCCTGGACCCCGCATTCACTATATCTGGTCTCCCAGGACCTTGCATTCACTATATCTGGTCTCCCCGGACTCTGCATTCACTATATCTGGTCTCCCAGGACCCTGCATTCACTATATCTGGTCTCCCTGGACCCCGCATTCACTATATCTGGTCTCCCAGGACCTTGCATTCACTATATCTGGTCTCCCCGGACTCTGCATTCACTATATCTGGTCTCCCCAGACCCTGCATTCACTATATCTGGTCTCCCCAGACCCTGCATTCACTATATCTGGTCTCCCCAGACCCTGCATTCACTATATCTGGTCTCCCCGGACTATGCATTCACTATATCCGGTCTCCCGGACCCTGCATTCACTATATCCGGTCTCCGGGACCCTGCATATCAGGTCTTTCACCGTACACACAACATGGAAATGCAACTATTTTAGTAAATATAAACTGCTAAATACCTTTTCTCATCAGCAGTTAGTTATATCATGTGTCCTTTAAAAAATACTCAGAAAGTGCTGCAAAAGCGCGTTAAAAACGCCTATGCGTTTTTGCTGTGTTTTTGCAGCACTTCAGTGTGAAAGTAACCTTAGAATGTCTCCACCCTGGAAAAACTTCACATTTCTATTTGTTTGCTGCTCCTGTTTTAACTATTGTATTCTATATATTCCTCTTAGTGGTCATTGGGATATTAGGAATGTGATTTGGGGCATAAGGCCACATCTGTGCGGGTGGTGGTGCGGCTGTGGATTCGCACGAAAATCCATGCAGCCCGGGGCGGACTGACAACTCATGGGGCCCCCGGGCAATAGGGGATCATGGGGCCCCTGTATCCTTGCCCAAACTCAAAAAAGCCTATGAAAAAGGTACCAGGGGCATCTCATGGGGCCCCCTACTGACCCCGGGCCCTCGGACAGTGCCCGAGTTTCCAAATGGTCCGTCCGCCCCTGGTGCAGCCGCACCACCCGCACAGAGGAATGCGGGCCCGCGGGCGGGTTCCATTAGTTCTTGAATATTAGACCCAGATGCAGCTTACCAATTCTTAAATGTGGTGGTTGCATTACTTTTTCTTTTTTAGGCTTTTTTTCCCCCTTTATTTTAACCTGGGGATCCAGCCAGTAACAAACTTCTTGTCTTAGGATGTCTCCAACCGGGAGGAAGGAGCAACAGAGACACCCTTGGACAGCAATATTGCATCCCATTGGCAGGACTACAAAAGCTTAGTCTGCTGGCACACGCTCCATTGTGGTGGACTTGGCATAGTGTTCACAACACTTTATTATTATTATTCTTATACAGGATTTATAGGACGCCAACAGTTTGCACCGCGCTTTACAATACACTTTATGGTAGACTTTATTGTATAGACTTTACTATGGGAGCAAATGTTTGAGATGAAATAGTATACAGTAAAGTCCAGGACGGTTGAACATAAGCTCCACCTTTCACATGACCATTACCATTAACCACGCGCGGACTAACACTCAACCTGCTGATAAAATTTCCTCTTTACATTTTAGTGACCATACACTCTTTGATTGTTTTACCCGATCAATGGGCGATTTGTTCAAATCAGTTTAGACCAGGGGCAGACTGACCATTTGGAAACTCGGGCACTGCCCGAGGGCCCAGGGTCAGTAAGGGGTCCCATGCGATGCCCCTGGTACCTTTTTCATAGGCTTTTTTGAGTTTGGGCAAGGACACAGGGGCCTCATGATCCCCTATTGCCCGGGGGCCCCATGAGTTGTCAGTCCGCCCCTGGTTTAGACTCGATTTTGATATTAGCTGAATATTATCAATCATTTTGCATCAATCGGTGGCACTGAAATACTTTGTCCATGAAAATGATTAAATTTCGAGTGATCAGATCATGAGATCATAAAGGTGAAACAGGGATGCCATTGATAACCTTCAACTGTTAGTTACGATCGTATCTTAACTATTGATTGAAATTAACTTCCCCTGTGTGTGGCATATCGATCGAATGGACTTTCGACTATAGATTGATTATTCCTATTGGAAGGGATCACCCGGAAAATAAATCAATCATTTATTGAAGTGTGTTTGGCCACAATTAGTGTTTGGCCCGTGTTCTTGCCAAAATCAAAAAAGCCTATGAAAAAGGTACCAGGTGCATCTCATGGGGCCCCCTACTGACCCAGGGCCCTCAGGCAGTGCCCGAGTTTCCAAATGGTCAGTCCGCCCCTGCACCTGATGTATATGACCAAACCATTAAGTGAGGTCAAAAACAGCTTGTGTCCCTTTAAATGGACTCAGAGATGAGTAGATATATGTATCCCTGTTGCCCGGATGGATGGATGAGTGGAGTGTTTCCCTTTTCCCAAGGCATCACTGCTGGTTTCCCTTAGTTTAGATGTTGGACCCTGCACCCGAATTAATTGAAGAATCGGCTCGGGTGAGGACATTGCTGGATCCCGGGACAGGTAAGTATCCTTATATTAAAAGTCAGTAGCTACAGGATTTGTAGCTGCTAACGTTTAATTTTTCAGGGGGGCCTGGAGCTCTGCTTTAATTAACCCAGTGATAATCGCTCTCAGTCTGTTGGCATTTAGATTGGGGTCCCGCAAACTGGAAAATCTTTGTACAGGGTGAGGCCAAGAGTGGCATTGTTGCGTATCAGTGACATTGACCAGCCATTTGTTACTAGTTGGTGAAAAGGGCATTGGTCTGACCCACGTTTGTCACAATGTCCACGTCTGCATTACTTTTGATAACTTGTAAGTTTCTTAAAGCAATACTAAAGGCTTTTTTAGAAAAAAAATAACAAACATGTTATACTTATCTGCTCTGTGCAGTGGTTTTGCACAGAGCAGCCCCTATCCTCCTCTTCTCAGGTTCCCCAATCCTCCCTCTTGTTGGGTGCCCCCATAGCAAGCAGCTTGGAACCACAGCTGGGCCCTGTCCATCTCTCTCCTCATTGACTCACTGGCTGTGATTGACAGCTGTCTCAGCCAATGAGGAAGCAGAGACCCAGGACAGCCAAGGCTTCCGTGCACATCACTGGATTGCAATAAGTCCCAGGTAAGTATTGGGGTACTGGGGGGGCTGCTGCACACTGAAAGTTTTTAGCCCTCATGCGCAGTGGACATTTTGATAACGCTGGTAACGTTAGCTGTGTAAAGTCGTGTTAAAAATTTGAGTTTTTCAGCTTTTTTTAGCGGTTTTGCATTAGCGTTTAGCAGCGCTTTGCTGCGGTTTCCCGCGTTTTTCCACGCTTGCATTTTTTAACACCAAAAAAAGTTTATTTTTTTAAGTAAAAAAAATCCAAAAATGCCAGGTTGCGGCGTTTTACCATGTTTTTTTTTTTTAGCTTTTTTCAGTGTTAGAGCATTTTTACAGCTAAGTACTCATGCGCATGGGGAGCTTTGATAACACTGGTAACGTTAGCTGTGTAATGTCACGTTTTTTCAGCTTTTTTTTAGCATTTTTGCATACTTGTTTAGCAGCGTTTTGCCATTTTTAGCAGCATTTTCCTGCTTTTTTCCAAGTTTGCATTTTTTAGTGTTTTTTTTTTTACCAAAAAATAAAATGGGGGGGTCAAAAAAAGTCCAAAAATGCCAGTTTACTGCGTTTTATAGCTAAAGAACTCCTCTAGAAACCCACTAGTTCTGGGGTTTTTTTCCAGCCAAAAAAATGTCCCAGCCAAAAAACGTCCCAGCCAAAAAATGTTGATTACAGTCTATGTGTTTAATTAGAAACGACCTCTGCTGCGCTCTGAGACCCAACAGGGGTGGATAGATAAAACCAGAACTTGAAAAATTCGACCACCAATGCATATGGGGTTGTGCAGCTCCAAACAAGGCTGGGGAAGCCCGACCAATACTGTGAAGCAAAAACAAACAAGAAGCGCACCAACCTTGCGCATTACCTCAGTAGACCAAAATTTTATTGAATACAGAATGATACTCACAAGCAATGAAGTATTTCAAGCATGTAAGTCCTCAAAGGAACTATGGAATAGTAAAGCCTGCGTGAGTCCCATCATAGGGGTGGACACTCAGGGTACACTGACGCGTTTCGAAGGGTGTCTCTTCTTCATCAGAGCTTGACTGAACAATGAGTGCTCTCTCCCATATATACTCTCTAGAATTGTTTATTTGGCAGCTTTATTTATGGAAATATCATTATTATATATATATATATATATATATATATATATATATATATATATATATATATATATGTTCTATCACATATCAATGAATTATTCATTAATTAATTTTACATCACATCTTATTCGTTTTTACCTTCCTCTTAGAGATATCTTTTGCAAAGGAACATTAATTGCATCTTTTTAATCAATTTTAATCATTAATAATTTTCTATATTTATATATATATTCTTAAATATTAATTAATTTATTTACATGGATTTCTATTTACATACACATACCACTTACAACCAGTCATTATTCACATCTGGGCATGTCTGTATAACAACATCATACTACAACAGTATTAAGATCTCTTAAACTTGTTTTTTTACTATGTTTTACTATGTATTATTTATCTTCTATTGTTGATGTATGCTTTTATGTAATTGTTTTTATGTAATTGTAATGGTAATTGTAATTTTATTGTAGTCTTATCAAGCTTGGAAATGTACTATACCTTCATCATTATAGTTGTATTATTAGCATTGATTACTAAGATATTTTGTTGACACCTTGGCCCCTCCTCCCACCCGAGATAGCTCATCCCACCAAGGAGGGTCCAGTTCAATTCTAGAGATTATATATGGGAGAGAGCACTCATTGTTCAGTCAAGCTCTGATGAAGAAGGGACGCCCTTCGAAACGCGTCCACTGTACCCTGATTGTCCACCCCTATGATGGGACTCGCGCAGGCTTTACTATTTCATAGTTCCTTTGAGGACTTACATGCTTGAAATATTATTATTATTATTATTATTATACAGTATTTATAAAGCGCCAATAGTTCGCTCAGCGCTGTACATTACAAAGGGGGACAGAACATGTGACAGAACAATACCAATACAATGCAAAACATGAGGGGATGAGGGCCCTGCTCTTTCGAGCTTACAATCTAGGAGGGAGGGGGTGGTGGCACAGGAGGAGATAGCTGTGGGGGATGGAGTGGTAGGAAGAGTGGAGGAGGTCGGCAAGTTAGCAGGGGGTGGGGTAGGCTTCCCTAAAGAGATGGGTTTTCAGGGTGCGCCTAAAGGAGAGGAGAGTAGGTGATAATCTGATGGGTTGGGGCAGGGAGTTCCAGAGGATGGGTGACACCCTGGAGAAGTCCTGGAGGCGGGCATGGGAGGAGGAGACCAGGGAACTAGAGAGAAGGAGGTCTTGTGAGGAGCGGAGTGTGCGTGCTGGGCGGTACTTGGATATTAGGTCAGTTCGAAATACTTCATTGTTTATGAGTATCATTCTGTATTCAATAAAATTTTGGTCTACTGAGGTAATGCGCAAGGTTGGTGCGCTTCTTGTTTGTTTTCGCTTCACAGTACAGTCTGTGTGTATGGACACCTAGGATAACATGCCGGGGGGTTTACTAGCTGTAGAAAAAAAACGTTAAAAACCAAAAACAGCTGCTGTAAAAACATCCAGTGTGCATGAGGACTAATTGACAACTCTGAGCACCGCTGAATTCAATTTATACTCCCTTTTCTTATACCACGGTATGTAAACTTCATGCTAGTATTAGAGGCAAGCTAAGTAATTTATTTATTGTTGCGGCATTTATGTCCAGCCATGTATCTCTTCATAAGGCTCAGATGAATAAATTGTATCTTTCTGTGTTCAGCAATATGTATCAACTCCTTGGATCTATTTAAAACCACGTTATCTGAGAGGTCTCTTCCAATCCATTTCCCTTTCCATTTTCTCTTTTAAAGACAAACTCCAAAGGTCTTTATCACCGCCATGACTCATGTATCACAGACACTTATCATTGCTTAAATATATTTTGCTCCAGTCCTTGGAACAAAATGACCCAGATAGAAATCTTTCATGTTAGCATGGTGTTGCCATTTCATATGCGCTACATTTGTCTCATTAGTAATCTCATTACTCTGTAAACAAAATTTCTAAATCTGAAGTGGATGCATCTTTTTCTAAATCTGCTAAAGAACTGATAGCGGCTTAAAAAAAACAAAAAACTTTTATTTCATCTGTAATTTTTTTAATAAATATATGCATTATTCCTTCTGTGATTAAAGCCCAACAGAAACTTTAGTTTGAAGCTGAGCTCCAGGGGTACAAGTTATAATCACATGTGCACATTAGTATCTAATATACTCAGAATTTTCAGAATCGGTTGAGTAGTAGGTGCCGGATTACCGAATAGGCAGGGCAGGCACTGGTCTATGGGCCCCACGCCATTTTAGGGCCCCACGACAACAGATCAAAATAAAAGAAAGTTTTCTTAAACTGTTTACAGAAGATAGAAAAATGAAATAACTAAAAGAAATGAAAACTTTACATTAAAGAGTAACTTTTGTTGAGAAAAACATCCCCCTATATTATTTATTTATTACAGGTACTTACAGGGCTGTGGATAAGGGGGGTACCACCTGTCCTCCTGTACAGGGCCCAAGCCAGCAAGGGGGCCCAGGCAGCTGGGTGAATTGGATGTGGGCAGGGAGGATGATTGAAGTGGGGAGAGCAGTTACTGAAACTGATCCCCTGTATGGCTCACTCTGCAGCAGCCAAAAGCTGGCTTCTCCCTCCCACCACACTGACCACCCTCCCTGTGCACCATATGTTTCCCCCTGCTGTCCAGGCTCCCCTGTGTGCCGCTCCTACCCCCACAGTGTTGCCGGCTTCCCTTCTCTCCTTCCCACTGGAAGCTGCAAGCACACATAAGGATCCTTCAGGATGGAGAGTGGGAGAAGGGTCCAGTAAATATGTCACATTTACCAGCTACTTGCTTTCCTGAATGAACACACTGCGTGATCGATACTGGAAGTCATTAACTCTGTGTAAGCGCCAAAACCATCCGACAAAGGAACAGAGCATAGAAGTTGCCTGGGAAATGTGAGTATCAGTGGGGGAAGGGTTGTTCTTTGCTCCTGAATGGGAGTGGTCATTTGGCCCTCAATAGCCAAAGTGAATCTTTTTAAAGTTGTATAAAAGGATGTTTCTATGTTTGTAGGCACCTTTACACCTTGGCCAACACTCCCTGGCTAACCTTGCATGGCGGGAATTGGCTAGGATGGACTTTTCTGTAGTATCCTCTAACACAAGCTAAGACTTGCAACACTTCTCTTCCACGGGGACAAGCATGTGAGTGGAGCAAATGCCTATATGTACAAAGGTCTTTCATCAGGTCCTGAATGCACTTGTGGCCACTATCTAACATTTGAAGGCAGGCTACCTTTTCTATATCAGATTTTTATTCATTTATTTTCTGTTATGCAGAATACATGTGCAACTAGAGCTTGTGACTGATTTGTACTCTGAGCATCCAAACACATTCTTTTGGCTTTCAAAAGATTCCAGAAAAGTGATGTAGACAGCCTTGCTCTGCCAGGTGAGATCTTCAAGTCAACCTGTCAAACAATTTAAGTGGTTTAAAGAGAAACTACTGCCTAAGAGCACATACCACACAATGCCTACCATTAGCTTTATTAGCAAAAGCTTTCACTTTCCATTTTTTCCTAGGGACCTGACTTCCCTGACTTCAGGACTATACCCCACCAGCTGCCAATAGCACTTTCCTTGGGCACTGCCCTTATTGTCCAGTAGCACATCTCGCTGGAAATGTCAGTTTGGCGGGGAAAAGTCCTGAAATTAGGGAAGTCAGGTCTAAAGGAAAAGGTAAAATGGTTTTGGAGGATGCTCACAGAAAAAATTTTTTGGCCTACAAAAGTAATGGAAGGCAACTCATGATGTCTTCTCTTAGGACATGAAAGGCAAATAAACTGTGCACTTTGCAAGAGCATTTGTTCCAGAGCTCAATAAATGACACAAAGTTTCACTTTGCAAAGAATAACCAATCAGGTGCTTGCACATTGGATGTTGGAAGTCAGCAGACCTTCCCTTCTTTTTATAAGCTTTCAGAGTGCACAATCTATTTGCCTTTGGTAAATCCACCCCATTGTGTATCTTTTAGGGCTCTTTCATACCAGGTGCGTTGAACTGCATTGATTCACATTGATTGGTGGTCAGTTGGAAGAATGTCCCTTACATTGGTGGTCAGTGGGAAGAATGCTTCTTACATCAATGGTCCTTGGGAAGAATGTCCCTTACATTGATGGTCTTTGGGAAGAATGTCTCCTACATCGATGGTCATTGGGAAGAATGCTTCTTACATCGATGGTCAGTGGGAAGAATGTTTCTTACATCGATGGTCAGTGGGAAGAATGCTTCTTACATCGATGGTCAGTGGGAAGAATGCTTCTTACATCGATGGTCATTGGGAAGAATGTCCCTTACATTAATGGTCTTTGGGAGGAATGTCTCTTACATTGATCAACAGTGAGAAGATACCCTCTTTTACATTGGTGGTAAAGGGGAAGATACCCCCCCCCCTCCAAAAAAAAATATCTGTCAAATAAAACTGAAACTATGTGGGCACCAAAAGAAATGGGAGTTCAATTAGTCACTCCTCAAAGAACCCCTAGCAACCTCTTGAGAAACCTAGGTGTTCCACAGAATCCTGGTTCATAATGGTTCAGTTAGACAGTCAATTTCCAAAACATATAATTTACAACATAAATATATATATATATACACGGTGGATATACAAAGTCTACACACCCCTGCTAAGATGTCAGGTTTCTGTGATGTATAAAAATTAGACAAAGATAAATAATTTCAGAACTTTTTCCACCTTTATTGTGACCTATAAACTGTACAACTCGGTTGAACAACAAACTGAAATCATTTAGGTGGATGGAAGTAAAATAAAACACTAAAATAATATGTTTGCATAAGTGTGCACACCCTTACATTAATACTTTGTTGAAGCACCTTTTGATGTGATTCCAGCACTCAGTCTTTTTGGGTATGAGTCTATCAGCATGGCACATCATGACTTGGCAATATTTGCCCACTCTTCCTTGCAAAAACACTCCAAAATCTCTCAGATTGCGAGGACATCTCCTGTACACAGCCATTTTCAGATAACCCCACAGATTTTCGATCAGATTCAAGTCTGGGCTCTGGCTGGGCCATTCCAAAACTTTTATCTTCTTTTGGTGAAGCCATCCCTTTGTTGATTTGGTTGAAGGTTTTGTGCCAATATTGACTGGTATTTGGAATTGTTCATAATTCCCTCTACCTTGACTAAGGCCCCAGTTCCAGCTGAAGAAAAACTGCCCCAAAGCATGATGTTGCCACCACCATGCTTCACTGTGGGTATGGTGTTCTTTTGGTGATGTGCAGTGTTGTTTTTGCGCCAAACATATCTTTTGGAATTATGGCCAAAAAGTTCAACCTTGGTTTCATCAGACCAGAACACATTTTCCCACTTGCTTTTGGGAGACCTCAGATGTGTTTTTTTTTTTAATTTAGCCGGGCTTGGATGTTTTTCTTTGTAAAAAAAATGCTTCCGTCTTGCCACTCTACCCCATAGCCCAGACATATGAAGAATACAGGAGATTGTTGTCACATGTACCACACAGCCAGTACTTGCCAGATATTCCTGCAGCTCCTTTAATGTTGTTGTAGGCCTCTTGGCAGCCTCCTAGACCAGTTTTCTTCGCGTCTTTTCAACAATTTTGGAGGGACGTCCAGTTTTTGTCAGTGCTGCACCATATTTTCTCCACTGGATGATGACTGTCTTCACTGTGTTCCATGGTATATCTAATACTTTGGAATTTTTTTTGTACCCTTCTCCTGACTGATATCTTTTAACAATGAGATCCCTCTGATGCTTTGGAAGCTCTCTGTGGACCATGGATTTTGCTGTAGGATGTGACTAAGAAAATGTCAGGAAAGGCCTACTAGAACAGCTGAACTTTATTTGGGGTTAATCAGAGGCACTTTAAATGATTGCAGGTGTGTACTGACTCCTATTTAAAATGATTTTGAATGTGATTGCTTAATTTTGAACACAGCTGCATCCCAAGTTATATGAGGGTGTGCACACTTATGCAACTGTATTATTTTAGTTTTTTATGTTTACATCCTCCCCCCCTAAAAGATTTCAGTTTGTTTTTCAATTGAGTTGTACAGTTTATAGGTCACATTAAAACATTAAAGGTGGAAAAAGTTCTGAAATTATTTATCTTTGTCCAATTATTTTACATCACAGAAACTTGACATTGTAACAGGGGTGTGTAGACTTTTTATATCCACTGTATGTATGTATATATATATGATCTATTAGTTTATAGTTATTAATAGCCAGCAGTTTAGCTGAGATTTTTTTTTTTTTTTATACCCCATAAAGTCAAAGGTAAAGTGTTGTTTTGTTCTACACGTACCTTATGTCTTGCAAGTTACTTTTACAAAAATATTTTTCTGGAGTTGTTCATGTGGTGACCTTCAGTGTTTCAGAGATGCAAATTGCTACAAATGCTGTCAGTTTAAATGAAAACATAATTTTACAGGTTTACAGGTTTTTTAGCTGACAAATGCCTGCATTTCAATAAATACTTTGTCACATTTGGATCACAGCAAGAACATTTTTTCTTAATGTGGTCATGCGGTGTGCTCCAAAGTTGCATCCCATTAGTCAGTCACATCCCCACACAAGCAGTTTAAAAGTTGTCGAGTTTAAAAGAATGTTGATTCTTGATAATGTATTTACACTTACTCTAATGGAGCACCTTTCTAGTGTATGCTGATGGCCAGCCTAGGGGCTCAGTCCAGTGGGGTTGTGTCAATGGGATCAATTTCAGGTGCTTCTGAGATCATTCAGAATTCAGGTGAGTTTCTACTGACCTGCATTTGATCTGTTTTAAGTGGGTTCTGCATTCCCATAGACCTGTATAGTAATGTTAATCCGTAAGGTCCATTGACAAGAGAAATGGTCTCCAATAGAAATTTGTATTAGGTTTACCTTTATTATTATACATTTTTATACAGGATTTATATAGCGCCAACAGTTTGCTCAGCGCTTTATCTTCATTTTCATTTTTTTTATGATAGTGCAGCCTTACAGCCTAGGAATTATTTGATTTTTACTACTTACATTATTTTTTACTTTACTTCTCCCCCGTTAGAGCAAAAGTGTTAGGCTGGGTGTAAAGCTGGCCATAGATGGATTAAAATTGGACCAGTTCAGCAGGGGTCAAATTTCGATCCATATGTGGCCGTTCCCGCTCAACAGAAGTTGATCCAGCAAGGCTTATTGGAACATTTTTTTTTGAGAGTCCTCGCTGTCAGAATGCAATGGGGTCAGGGGCAGACTGACAACTCATGGGGCCCCTGGGCAATAGGGGATCAGAAGGCCCCTATGTCCTTGGCCAAACTCAAAAAAGACTATGAAAAAGGTACCAGGGGCATCTCATGGGGCCCCCTACTAACCCCTGGCCAGCGGGCAGTGCCCGAGTTTCCAAATGGTCAGTCCGCCCCTGCATGGGGTTGATTTACTAAAACTGGAGAGTGTACAAAGCTGCAGAGAAACCAATCAGCTTCCAGGTTTTATTGTCAAAGCTTAATTGAACAAGCTGAAGTTAGAGGTTTATTGGCTAACATGCACAGCTGCACCAGATTTTGCATTCTCCAGTTTTAGTAAATCAACCCCAATGTCTCAGCACAAAGGATTTCTCTATGCACATTGTTTTCATGGATGGAGGAATCAGTTTTTTTCTTTTTCTCAGTCTGCTGGCTGAACGAAAAGAAGGAATCCATCTATGGCCAGCCTAAGGCTGTCTTATCTCCTTCCCGAGTTCAATACTGATAGCAGTTATTGTCATAAAACAAAGGTGCTCTCAGGGTACATAATATAAACCTAAATAAATTGTTAGCTAATAGTTTTAAGTCTGGTTGACATAGGCGGGCGTACTTAAGCATGTTCCTTGTATTTGCATGCAGGCAGTCCCATTCGTGTCAATTAACGTGGTTGTAAAGGCTCAAGGTTTTTTACCTTTGTATATTCTATGCATGGAGGTAAAAAACCTTCTCTGTGTAGCATCCCCCCAGCCTCCCCAATACTCACCTAAGCCCCCTCTTGATCCAACAATGTGCACTGGAGTCTCAGCTATTTCTTTCCTCATTGGCTGAAACAGCAGCGGGAGCCATTGGTTCCTGCTGCTGTCAATCACAGCCAGTGAGCCAATGAGAAGAGAGAGGGAGCTGGTGGGTGGTGTGTGAATGGACAAACAGAGCAGCAGCTGGGGAGTGTGCATGCTTGGGTGCCCCCATAGCAAGCTGCTTGCTATGAGGGCACCCGACAGGAGGGAGGGGCCGGGAGTGCCAGCGGGGGGCCCGAAAGAAAAAGGATGTTCCAGGCTGTTCTGTGCAAAACCACTGCACACAGCAGGTAAGTATAACATGTAATTTATTTATTTCTGATTTAAAATTAAGCCTTTAGAATCACTTTAAGGATGCACCAGCTGCATGGACTCAGTCGCTGCTCCAGTTTGACATCTATGTGGATGTGGGTGCCCATCTCTGACCACAGACGGTGTAAATTCAGGGATACACACACACATGCATACGGATGTCAAATTGGGAGCAGTGACTGTGTGCATGCAGCACGTGCATCCTAATTGACATGAATGGGACTGCCTGTATGCGGATGCATGGAACACCTATGCATCCTGTTGGGGTAAAAACACAGCCCTCAAACGGGTGTACTTAACCATACACCTTACTCTGCTTTAGTAATCTAGAGTGCCAAATATCAGCTGTGAGCTCAGTCAAGAAAAGGGACATCTCTGCTCTGACAGAAAGAAAATACAGCTGAAGAACAGTACACATACCTACCATGAGAAGTAAGGCTGCACCTTTACATTAACTTAAAGTAGAACTTCTGTAAAAAAAAAAATAAAAAGATAAAACTTAATTGTCTATTAAAGTTAAAATAAAAGCAGCTGAAATATACACCTCTAATATAGACCCCCACACACACACACACACCTTCCCTGCCGCTAGATGTCCTCACTCTATTGTCCAGAATCATTTAACCCACTTTCTTCGAGCCCAAGCTGTCTGGGACCTGCCTCCAATCTATGAATGGAAAGCCCTGGACCTTGTTCATTATTATTATTATTATTTTACAATATAAAGGGAGACAATACAGCAACAATACAGTTCAATACAAGAGGGATAGAAGGGCCCTGCTCTTTGGAGCTTACAATCTAGGAGGGAGGGGCTAGTGGTACAAAAGGTAGTAACTGTGGGGGATGGACTGGTAGGAAGAGTAGAAGATTCCATTATTAGCTGAGGGCAGGATAGGTTTCCCTGAAGAGATAGGTATTCAGAGATCGCCTAAAAGTGAGCAGAGTAGGCGATAGTCTGATAAGTTGGGGTAGAGAGCTCCAGAGGATGGGGGAAGCTCTGGAAAAGTCCTGGAGACGAGCATGGGAGGAGGAGACAAGGGAGCTAGAGAGCAGGAGGTCTTTTGAGGAGCGGAGAGTACGGTTTGGGTGATATTTGAAGACAAGATTGCTGATGTAATTTGGGGCAGTATTATAAATGGGTTTATATGTTATTGTTAATGTTTTGCATTTTATCCGTTGGGCAATGGGAAGCCAGTGGAGGGATTGGCAGAGAGGGGTGGCAGATACAGAATGATTAGTAAGGTGGATGAGTCTGGCAGCAGCACTCATGATAGACTGAAGAGGGGATAGCCTGCGATGAGGTCGGTCAATCAGGAGGGAGTTACAATAGTCAAGGCGAGATATAACAAGGGAGTGAATAAGTTGCTTAGTGGTTTCCGAGGTTAGGAATGGCCGTATCTTGGAGATGTTGCGGAGGTGAAGTCTACAAGATTTGGACAGTGATTGGATTTGGGGCTGAAAGGACAGATGGGAGTCTAGGATTACACCTAGTACCCTGGCATGAGGGGAGGGACTGATGATTGTGTTATTGATTTTGATGGAGAAGTTAGGGGAGGGGGCACGTGCTGGAGGGAATAGTAAGAGCTCAGTGATAGCATTCAGTCCCTTGCTCCAGTATCCTCATCTTGCCTGTTCTCATCATCCCTGTAAACCTCTCTGTCTGCTGCCAGTCCTTACCTCGACCTGTCCCTGAAATTATCTGTCTGCTGCCTGCATTTATCCCAGCCTCAGCTTGTCCCTGAAATACTCTCTGTCTGCTGCCTGCATTTATCCCAGCCTCAGCTTGTCCCTGAAATACTCTCTGTCTGCTGCCTGCATTTATCCCAGCCTCAGCTTGTCCCTCAAATACTCTCTGTCTGTTGCCTGCCCTGATCTCAACCTATCCCTGGAATAATCTCTGTCTCCTTCAAACCCTGCCCTGTCTATCTCTGGATTATGTTGCTTTTTTTTGTTATCTGTGTTTCCCTAACCAATGCAATCATCTAACACCCATGACTATCATAGGTTTCTGTTTCACTTCTTTTGCCTCAACGTTGGTGCTGCTTGGCCAGGAATTATAGCACTGTGCATTAAGAAGTATCGAAGTACCAGTAGACACAATTGAACAGGAACAGGGGCCGCTATAGGCAAAGCTATACTCACCAGTTATAGATCCTGACCATAAGCGCTGGAGCAAACATTACATTGTCTTAATGTCTGTGTAAGCTCTATGTCTGCTCTGGAACAAAGCTTACACAGAGTTAAGAATGCTACTTACATTGGTGGTCGTGGGAAGAATGCCCCTTACGTTGGTGATTGTTGGGAAGACTGTCCCTTACATTGGTGGTCACGGGGAAGAATGTTCATTACATTGGTGGCCAGGGGGAAGAATGTTCCTTACATTGGTGATCAGTGGGAAGAATGTTCCTTACATTGGTGACCAGGAGGAAGAATACCCCTTACATTGGTGGCCAGGAGGAAGAATGCTCCTTACATTGGTGGTCAGGGGGAAGAATGCTCCTTACATTGGTGGCCAGGGGGAAGAATGTTTCTTACATTGGTGGCCAGGGGGAAGAATGTTCCTTACATTGGTGGCCAGGGGGAAGAATGTTACTTACATTGGTGATCAGTGGGAAGAATGTTCCTTACATTGGTGACCAGGAGGAAGAATACCCCTTACATTGGTGGCCAGGAGGAAGGGGATGAATCCTCCCCTACATTGGTGGTCAGGGGGAAGAATGCTCCTTACATTGGTGGCCAGGGGGAAGAATGTTCCTTATATTGGTGGCCAGGGGGAAGAATGTTCCTTGCATTGGTGGCCAGGAGGAAGAATGTTCCTTACTTTGGTGGCCGGAGGGAAGAATGATCCTTGCATTGGTGGTCAGGGGAAGAATGCCACTTACATTGGTGGCCAGGAGGAAGAATGTTCCTTACTTTGGTGGCCAGGGGGAAGAATGATCCTTGCATTGGTGGTAAGGGGGAAGAATGCTCCTTTTATTGGTAACCAGGGCAAGAATGCTCCTTACATTGGTGATCAGAGGGAAGAATGGTCCTTACATTAATGGTCAGAGGGAAGAATGATCCTTACATTGGTGGTTAGTTAGAAGAATGACCCTTACATTGGTGGTCATGGGGAAGAATGCTCCTTACATTGGCCAGGGGGGGAAATGCTCCTTACATTGGGATCAGGGGGAAAATGCTCCTTACATTGGTTCAGGGGGAAGAATGCTCCTTACATTGGTGGTCAGGGGAGAAGAATGCTCCTTACATTGGTGATCAGGGGGGAAGAATGCTCCTTACATTGGTGGTCAGGGGGAAAATGCTCCTTACATTGGTGACCAGGGGGAAGAATGCTCCTTACATTGGTGGTCAGGGGGAAAAATGCTCCTTACATTAGTGGTCAGGGGGAAGAATGCTCCATATATTAGTGGCCAGAAGGAAGAATGTTCCTTGCATTGGTGGTCAGCGGGAAGAATGCCCCTTACATTGGTGGCCAGGATTAAGAATGTTCCTTACTTTTGTGGCTGGGGGGAATAATGATCCTTGCATTGGTGGCCAGGGGGAGGAATGATCCTTGCATTGGTGGTCAGGGGGAAGAATGCTCCTTATATTGGTGGTCAGGGGGAAGAATGCTCCTTATATTGGTGGTCAGAGGGAAAAATGATCCTTCCATTGGTGGTCAGTGGAAAGAATGACCCTTACATTGGTGGTTAGGGGTATGAATGCCCCTTACATTGGTGGCCAGGGGAAAGAATGATCCTTACATCGGTGGTCAGGGGGAAGAATGGCCCTTACATTGGTGGTCATTAGGAAGAATGCCCTTTAACTTGATGGTCAGTGGGACAACCAATGAAAGCTATGTCTGTGTAAGCTCTGGTTTGCTCTGGAACAAAGCTTACACAGATTTAGGGACCCTGCCCCTGATTCCACCTGACATCATTTGGGAATGGCAATTTGCCACTCACGCATCCAGCCCTACATCATGTGAAAAAGAGGAGAATGTGACATACATCCTCATTCATAGACGTTCAGCTATTTCATAGCAAACAAGAGCGCAGGAAAGGTAACAAAGAGGGTGGGTTATCCAGCAAGCTTCGATTGAAAAACAAAAAGTTAATTCATCTCACCAACCATAACTAAATATTTGTTTTAAGACGACTGTCCCTCTAGGACAAGTGCCTAATGAATGGATATTGTTACATAGACCCACATCAGAAATGTCTATCATTTGTTGGCAGCTGTTCACATCCCTTTCAGGAACACTGTGTAATCTGCTAACAGATACAGACAGGATAAAGCTTAGTCTGTCTTGGAGCTGCTCATAGCATCTAGTTGTTCTATAAGTTCCCGGAACTGCTTCTCTCTCACCGACCACCACCATAACAAAATACAACATTTCTTTTCCAAAGCTCTCCATCGCACTAATTATGCAGTAAGCTTGAAATCAATCACTTGACAGCTCACTTTACTGGAAGTGGAAACTTTTATGAACAGGCTGATTGAGCCCAGGCACTTGTGGAGGTAGTCACTCCGGAGTTTGGAGAGAGATTTTAATTTTCCAAAGTTAAAGACAGGAGGAGCCCTGACTACGACTGACGGTCTACTCCATGTAAATGCAGACTAAAAATAGGAACACGTTGCCTGCATGGAATACAAACTGTTCCCTCTCTCAGCTCTAATTCACTTCAAAGGGAAAAAGTTGAGGAGGTGACAAAAGAAAAAAAAAAAGAAAAGATGGAATTAAAATAATTCGGCCATTAAGGACCATTTCATCATGAAGAGTGTGAATTTCTATTACCTCTTGCTGTACTTGACTTACCTGAACCCTGTCTGCTCCACCGACGCCTGCGAGATCTGTGACTGCAGTGGCTTCAGTCTGGTGTGCCCAGCACAGGCACCAGCTCACAGGTCCCCTGATATCAAACTGTAAGTAACTACCCTTCCAATGGTCTGCCTTACATTAATGTGTTTGCTTTGCCTGTTCAAATAAAACTTTTTTCACTTTAACCATCTGTTATGTGATGCTAGTTATCTTCGATATTGATGTAGATGTTCTGTATTTCAAACATAACATAGGCAAGGGCAAAAACAGATATCTAAATATATGAGTTACATTAACTTTACTTAAATTATTATCACTTATTAACTTATAAAGCGTTGTGTTTTGATGGGCTGCACCTATTAAATATAAGAGTTTCATGATGATATTATTGCTAATTAACCTATAAAGCACCAATGTGTCCTTATGGGCTACACATTTATGAATTTATAAAGCACTGATGTGTTTCTTATTGGGTGAATTTATTAGTTTACAAAGCAACAATAGTGTTCTGATGGGATGCATTTATTAGTTTATACAGCACCAGCGTGTCCTTATGGACAACACTTATTCATTTAGAAAGCACCAATGCATTTTGATGGGATGCATTTATTAACTTATAATGCACCAACGCGTTCTGATGGGATGCATTTATTAACTTATAAAGCACCAACGCGTTCTGATGGGATGCATTTATTAACCTATAAAGCACCAACGCGTTCTGAGGGGATGCATTTATTAACCTATAAAGCACCAACACGTTCTGATGGGATGCATTTATTAACCTATAAAGCACCAACGCGTTCTGATGGGATGCATTTATTAACCTATAAAGCACCAACGCGTTCTGATGGGATGGATTTATTAACCTGTAAAGCACCAACGCGTTCTGATGGGTTGCATTTATTAACCTATAAAGCACCAACGCATTCTGATGGGATGCATTTATTAACCTATAAAGCACCAACGCGTTCTGATGGGTTGCATTTATTAACCTATAAAGCACCAACGCATTCTGATGGGATGCATTTATTAACCTATAAAGCACCAACACGTTCTGATGGGATGCATTTATTAACCTATAAAGCACCAACGCGTTCTGATGGGATGCATTTATTAACTTATAAAGCACCAACACGTTTTGATGGGATGCATTTATTAACCTATAAAGCACCACCGCGTTCTGATGGGATGCATTTATTAACCTATAAAGCACCAACGCGTTCTGATGGGATGCATTTATTAACCTATAAAGCACCAACGCGTTCTGATGGGATGCATTTCTTATAATGATGGGATGCATTTATTAACTTATAATGCACCAACGCGTTCTGATGGGATGCATTTATTAACCTATAAAGCACCAACACGTTCTGATGGGATGCATTTATTAACCTATAAAGCACCAACGCGTTCTGATGGGATGCATTTATTAACCTGTAAAGCACCAACGCGTTCTGATGGGATGCATTTATTAACCTATAAAGCACCAACGCGTTCTGATGGGATGCATTAAATAACCTATAAAGCACCACCGCGTTCTGATGGGATGCATTTATTAACCTATAAAGCACCACCGCGTTCTGATGGGATGCATTTATTAACCTATAAAGCACCAACGCGTTCTCATGGGATGCATTTATTAACCTATAAAGCACCAACGCATTCTGATGGGAAGCATTTATTAACCTATAAAGCACCAACGCGTTCTGATGGGATGCATTTATTAACCTATAAAGCACCAACGCGTTCTCATGGGATGCATTTATTAACCTATAAAGCACCAACGCGTTCTGATGGGATGCATTTATTAACCTATAAAGCACCAACGCGTTCTGATGGGATGCATTTATTAACCTATAAAGCACCAACCGTTTCTGATGGGATGCATTTATTAACCTATAAAGCACCAACGCGTTCTGATGGGATGCATTTATTAACCTATAAAGCACCAACGCGTTTTGATGGGATGCATTTCTTATAATGATGGGATGCATTTATTAACTTATAAAGTTCAGAATGTAGCACAATTGGAAGTTTGATCTTTATTATTTAAAGAATTCATTGAGAGTTATCTACTAAAACTGGACAATGCAAAATTTGGTGCAGCATAGAAACCAATCAGCTTCCAGGATTTATTGCCAAAACTTAGTTGAACAAGCTGAAGTTAAAAGCTGATTGGCTACCATGCACAGCTGCTCTCCCTCATTGGATATTAGTTCATCAATGATAAAAATGTAAGTACAAGATAGTTGTTTTTTTTTAAATGTATGCTTTATTTTTATATAAATAATTTATATACTGTATATATAAAGTTTGATTATTGTGGTGTTTTTTTGGGGGGGGGGATCCACCTGGTTACTTGCATAGACATGCATGTTTACCTACAGGTGTTGTGCAACCACTTACACTTTGCATTTTTTCCCATTTTGGATGTACACGGCTTGATTTTGGTTCAAGTTGTTTTCACCTCCAGCTGTGTCTGCCCCATATTGGCTCTACATGTCCACGCCCTCAAGAGTAGTTATTTTAGCCAATACGAGTTGGCAAATCTGCAAGATAGAGTAGGGCTTGGCCAGAGAGGGATCACTTTGACGCAGTTGGCCAGCTTGATCATGTATTGCAATAAATGGAAACTAAGAATCCCCATTTTACAATTAATAATTTTTTATAGGTAAGGGTTAACAAGTGGAAACACATCCTTAGTATCTTATGTGTTGTATACAGTTAATGAAACTATTTGGACCTGAGCAATCATACCTCCATTTCTACTGCACGGTGCAGGTTGGTAACTATACAGGGCAGGTATGCCTGAAGTTGCTATATTACTGACTACAAGTGTAGTACTTACACATGTATTGCAGATGTGTGTGTGTGTGTATATGTGTGCCTTACATTTTTATTACATATTTAAAGTATGCCTGATATATATATATATATATATATATATATGTATATATATATATATATATTATATATGGCACTCTTGTCTGCCTTCTACAATACAGTGCTAGCTCTCTAACAGGATATTTGGCCAGCTTGAGGACTGTCATGCAAGGTTGTAGGAAAGTCAAAACTTACACAGGAGTTTTGGGGGCAGGGCTAGGACAAGGGTTTGGCAGAAGGGGCAGCTGCACAGGGCACAGTGGTAGGGGAGGATGCCCCCTCACCACATGCAGACCTCAGATCCATGGCTAGCAACCAGTGAGCTGTACCTTCATACCAAAGAAGAGATTTGTGAAAAGAGAAATCTCTTTTCACAAATCTCTTCTTTGGTCTGCATATTTTTTGGCTACTGGATGAAAGCCATATATTGGGTGATACAGTAATTTATATTTGAACCTCTAAATCTATCTTTTACTAGCTGTACCTTCATGCCTGCTCTGACAGCTACTGTTGCCATGCTGTGCTCTAACATACCTGCTCTTCTCCCCATCCTCCCACAGCTGACACAAAAACACACCATGCATGTGCAACTACCTTCTAGCCACAGGAAAGCAAGCAATTGGCCACATCTGTTTTTCAGTAGTTACAATTAATTACAAATACATTTCTTCTGCTTCATCTAAAATGTGTGCAGTGCTTCCCCTGTGGGAGCCATGGATTAGAATGGATCCTCCTGTTCTTTGCCTCAACCTCTGGAACGTCTCAGCTCTTCTGGTACACTGGGGTGAATGTTTGACCATGTGAGGGCGCAGACACTCTCTGGAAGTAACACTTAATAGTCAACTATCAGACCTCTTTAAAAGAATGAGCACCAAGCAGTTCAATAAAAGTAACAATATATTGCTTTAAATTTAGGGAGTTACAAAGAGTATTTAAAACTTTTAGTATGCAAAATGGTAAGTAATCAAAAACTGGGAACCATTTCACACTAGACATCCAGCTCAACATAAACAGTAACACCTCAAGGGAAGCTGTGACCAGTAATAAACCTCAAACTGTCAAAGGCAATACTATACTAATAGGGCACATTAATGGTAGTTGTGCTAGGCCTAGGCTGACTGGTGTGCACTGTCCTTGTAGAAGAAAAGTGGATAACAGAAAGGGTCAAAGGGAGGGGTGAACGAACGAAACCAGCGCTCCAGTCTTCATACAACCAAGGCGATGCCAAAATGCCAACCGAAGAGGTGTTGGCCTTTTAATTTCGGGAAATCTGACCACTAGTGGAAAAGAACAGACAAGGGCGCACTCCCATCGTGCATTACCGTGGTAAAACACATATTTATTGATAACAATGTGGATAACAGAAAGGGTCAAAGGGAGGGGTGAACGAACAAAACCAGCGCTCCAGTCTTCATACAACCAAGGCGATGCCAAAATGCCCGAAGAGGTGTTGCCTTTTAATTTCGGGAAATCTGACCACTAGTGGAAAAGAACAGACAAGGGCGCACTCTCATCGTGCATTACCGTGGTAAAAAAACACATATTTATGATAACAATGTGGATTAACAGAAAAAAGGGAGGAACAAAATATCCAGTCTTCATACAACCAAGGCGATGCCAAAAAGGTGCTGCCCTTTTAAGATCTGGAAATCTGACCACTAGTGGAAAAGAAAAGGGCGCACTCTCATCGTGCATTACCGTGGTAAAACATGTATTTATTGAAAAAAGAGGATATATCAGCAACGTGATAAAAGGCAGCAAAAGTAGACCACAAGGACAGTCACAATGCATCTGTGTCTAATGATGCAGATAGGCTAACGCTTTTCGGGAGCTGAACCCCCTTCCTCAGAGCTCAGAGTTAGCCTATCTGCATCATTAGACACAGATGCATTGTGGAGCATGTGCAGCATGTGATCCAATGGCTGGTTCCTTCTCTCCCAGTTTCTAAGGAGTCTGAACTCCCAGGATGCATCTGTCTGTTTTCATCAGAATGATGGAAATGTATTAACTCATTTATTTAAACAATTTCAAGTATATGTAAAACAGTAAATTTATTGTGGGCTCCATCTTGTGGATGAATTTAATATAATGAATTTCCCTGCTGAAGGCAGAACACCCTGAAACACATTGTGTCTGTGTTGCTTACCCTTCCATTACGTCATGCAAAACAGCAGCACATCAAACATTCAGCAGAATAGGGTAGATTCCTATTGCATTCTGG